TTTCCCTATAATAATATTAAAACTATTATAATAAAAGAATATTTGTCGATGAACTCTTTTAATTTGATTCTCTCCTTTAATATTACTTAATCTTTCTTTAATTTCTTTATCTATTTCTTCTTCTCCAATATCATCATCTTCTTCTTCTTCTCTATAATCATTTATATCATCATATTCAAAATTATCAAATTCCATAAACTAAAATTATAAAGATTGAATTATTTAATAGTTTGTTTGAAAAACTTCTAGTCTTTGTTCTAATAGTCCATTTCTTATTTCTTCATTTGTTTTCATTTCTTGAATATATAAATTTCTTATTTTCTCTAATTCTTTTCTTAATCGTTTATTCTCTGAAATAATATCTTCCATAATATCATTTGGATTATCAACCACTTGTCTTTTAATATATTGATTCATTTTATCTTTTTGATTTCTTGTTTTCTTAGGTGCTGCTTGTTCTATTAGTGGATTACTTGGTCTTATCATTGTTGGTGGCATTTCATTAATATCAATTACTTGACTTTCAACAGTGTTTTGTGGTGTATTGTTCATATTCTTATTATTTGTTTTTTCTTGTTTTTATTCTTGTTGTTTAAATATCATGTTGAAATATTATTCGTGTCATTCTATATTCGATTTTCTTCTTTCATGAGTTTTATCAACTAGGATCCTTTCATTATTATCATAAATACATCAATTCAAACTCATTATTTCATTTGATCAAATGACAACATTAAAAGATATTCTCATTACACTTGCTGGTTATGAAATAGATCAACCAACATTAGAAGAAGCAATTAAACTTCAACAACAAATTGCAAGTTTATTACAATCAATTCATGAAGAACATCAGAAAAAATTAATGAAACAAGCATATTGGAAATGTGTATGGTTAATAAATACTTTAGCACCTTGGGTTAATAAAAATAATTGATTATTTTATATGAAACCTTTCATTTTATTATCAAATATTTATTAAAAGAGTATTTCAATTGTTTTATCTTTCTTTCATTCTTCTTCTAAACAAAAATAAAAAGAAATAAAAATTAAATTAGTTTAAAAGTTAGAATCACTTAAATCTAAAAGAGAACAATGATCTTCTTGTTCGAAGAAACTCTGACAATTAAGTATTCTCTCTGATTCTCTTTGAATTGATGATGGTTCAACTATTTCATTCTCTTCATATGAAATTGATGAAATACACTTTTTATTTTTATTATCACTAAACCCATCTGGTTTTCTGTTTTGAATTTTAATAATATCAGTAGTCATTTTATTCTATTTATTCAATAATTTTGAAATAATTCTCATGTTTTCTAAAACTGTATCATTACTTTCATCGATCATGATAATAACATATGTAGATAAGAATTCCATCAAAGGGTATTTCATCCACATATCTTCTGATTTTAAAAATATTTTGAGACAATAATTTAATGATTTTGATAATATGTGGTTATCATTTGCTGTGATATAAACATTAATATTAGAAAATATTTCTATAACATCAGAAAGATCAGATATAATATTTAAATATTCAGTTCTATCAACATCTTTAACTAAATGACTATTTCCTATTAAACATTTTCTCAATATTTTAATGTCTTTAATAACTTTAATACTTATTTTTAATAATTCATAACCATGAGATTTTAATGAGACTTCAATGTATTTAATTTTTCTTTTAGATGGATTTGTTCTAAGATAATATTTATGACTTTCATTAAAACATGGATATTTTAAATTAGTTAAATGAGTGTCATGAGGAGGAATAACAATATTTCCATTAAAACTAATATTTTCATGATTCTGAATATCTTCTTCAAATGTTGATAAGAAAGTCATCCAAATTAAATGAAGATATTCTTTATAACTTTTTCAGATTGTTTAAAAATGAATTTAATTAAATACTAGAGGTGAACTTTAAAAGATTAAGGTCGAACTTTGGAGTTGAGATTAAGAGATATGAGGTAATAAAAATAAATGACATTTAAAACAATAACTATTATTCTTAAAATAAAATGCGTTATATAAAAGAAATAATAAATGTTATATAAAATGATATTTAGAAATTTACTCTTAAACCTTAAATGATGATATTGTATATCATCAAAATGTACGATAGAAAAATAATGACATAAAAGAAAAATAAAGAGTAATAGAGTAAAAATAAAGAATCGAAAAGAATGAAATAAAATAAATGAAAAACAATGAAGAATAAATAAAGATAAAGAAAGTATTTTAATAAACATTCAAGAAATAGAAAGAATAAAAATAAAATGATTTAAATATTAAAAAGAATGATAGAAATAATAATAAATAATAAATAAAGATAATAAATATAAAAGAAGAAT